CAGCTTCAGGTACCCGGTCGTCCAATAAGGCTGATAGCAATAGTGGTGAAGGAATAAGTCGACACTTGGAGTGATCCTCAACTCGTGGCATCGAATAATGAAGCCTGTAAGAATGCGGTAAGTGCTGGGCACGAACTGAGCGGGTAGTACAGAAACCCGACGTAAGAACTCCATGATGAACGAATGGAGAGGGAAGCGAAGCCCAGCAGTCAAAGCGTCAAGGTGCACTAGCACGTGACCCGGTCGATGCCTCATCGGGTGTCGAATAAATCCAGCATAGTATTCCCTTGGTGGGGGCAATAACTGGCTAAGTTGTCGTTCGATATCTTCTGGGAGGCGTTGTTTTTGTTTGCGGATACGAGTAAAGTGTAGGGGAATGCGGGGTGGCCGTTCGGGCATTCCCTTGTTATAAACCTGGACATCATCACCTGATAGGCATCCATCATCTTGTGGCTGTTCGGTGTGTTTTCCTGCCTGAGGATTGCCGGGTTTAGGGGTTTGGGAAGAAGAGCCTTCGGCCTTGTTACCAGCAGATGTTTTACTTAGGCGAATCAACGGCATCTCTTCAGATTCTGAGCTAGAGGGGTAATACATAAAAACACTGGAGAAATTCTGGGAATTATAGAGAGAGAAAGCTTGAAAGTACGCAAGAGAATTCTGAACTTAGAAGGAAAAATGAGGAAACAGCAGGAGAAATTAGGGAAAATCACCTCTCTATAAATAGGGAAAGTGCCGCACAAAACCCTAATCCATGAGCAACACGTGGCATTAAGTGGTTACGATTAATCAGGGGCATTTATGGTTCATTTTTGTGCACGTACCCGAACGGGCTTACGGAGGATCAGTAAAGATCACGGGGGAATGGCTAAAACCTACTTAGATCACCGATTACCGAGTGACGAACGGGCTTACAGAGGATTAGCAAAGATCACAGGGACTTGCTGGTTAGAAAAACTGCTAAGTCCTAAAGATTGATCTGAAGCCCGAACGGCTACCAACATACGAAGGAGCCCAAGTGCGGGCGGATTATCAGAGATCTGAAGACCAAGAAAATGGCTAAGTCCTAAGAATTGATCTGAAGCCCGACCGGCTATCAACGTTGTAAGAGATTATCTGAAGCCAGAATGTGCTAAGTCCTAAAAAATGATCTGAAGCCCGAACGGCTGAGTCCTAGAAAGAAGGGGGTTTATCCTTGGTAAATTATCAGAACCCTCCAATGCCCGAACGGCGATCATACGGTATTAGGAGTATTAAGTAAAAAATAAAGTCAGAAAATTGATTGTCCTACAAAACGGGCCGAATCCCGAATGGTGAGCAATCATTCAATAAACGCAAAAAAGACAGTATAAGATGTTTTGTGCAAAACAAAAGATCTGTATTCATCAGTTCTACTGACCGGGAAATACAAGCTACTTGAAGAAAAGAGAATTACAACGATTAATTAAAAGTTAAACACCTAGATTATTGGCCAGGGGCCATCTCCTCTCCATCTTCATCCTCATCTTCATCATCATCAGACGGGGGTTCAGGCTCTCTCCCAGCAGCCCGATCAGCTTCCCGTTGCAGATCTCGCTGGAATTTTTCAAATTGAGCTTGTATAATTTCATCCTGGGGAAGATCAGAAGCCTGAACCGGCCTCCCAAGATTATTTTGAAGCTAGGCTACAAAAGGACGTAGCAGGACCTGGCCGATCTTGGCATAAAGATCTGCAACAATGGAGTCATTCCATTTCTTGCTCTCAGGATCCTTATCCAAAAGAGCCACCCCTGCCGAGAGCCGACCAGCACCTCTAGGAAACCCCTTCAGGTACGCTCCAAAGGCGAACGGGATTTGCGTCCTGGCATGATCATCCTTGATGATGGAGAATTCATCAGAGGATTTGAATGTTTCCCGGACATCGGATAGATCCACATTCACCTCATATGGGCCGTCCGGGATGCTGGAAGGTATCTCCTCAAACTTGATCTGTGCGGCCTCGGCAGCGATGACCTTCGCTTGGGAAGCAGCAAGTTGGACCCGAAGGGTACCAAGCTCAGCATCCAACCTTTGTTTTTCCTCCGCAAAAGCCTTCCGTTCGGCTTCCAGGGAGGTGATGGCAGCACCAGCCCTTTCTAACACCTCATGAACAGGATCCGATAAAGAGATCCGCTCGACCTGACCAGTGATATGGTCGGTATGAGTCCCGCCTACGTTCGAGGGTTCCCCCTGAACAGAATCAAAGTGTTGGGAGAACTGATGCAGTTGATCAGAACCAAAGCGGTCATCGATCATCATGGCATCATAATGATCCTGACCGGAGAATTGCTGAATAGGCTCCGGTTGCTGAACGATCGGTGCAGGTTCGGGTTGAGGAGCAGCAGTGGTGGGTGAATCAACTTTTGGATTCCTCTTCATTTTCTTCTTCCTTTTCCCGATCCCGCCAGCAAGGAGCACACGACTGTCATCCATAGTAGCGTCTGGATTGGGAGCTGAAAAATGACAAAGGGAAATGTTAGTACCGAGCGGCCTTTAGCATGTGAGAAACTAGTAACAAGAAGGGAACGTTTCTCGCACGGGAAGGACCGCCCGGACTATGGCACTTGATTCTCAAAACAAGTAAACCCAAGAGAACGGGCAGTACCTATCCCGGCTTTAACCAGCCGATCGGGAGTCAGGTAGGTCATGATATCACAACACTTGTCCTTCTCCACAGCAAGTACGTCCTTATAAATTTCCTCAGTAAGAACTGGGTCGGGAGTCTTGCGGGGAAAGGCGTTCCATTTATGAGGGATCAACCCGTCCGGGATAGACACGAAGAAAAACCTATCTTTCCATCCCTTGATTGAGGTTGGATTGCCTTTGAATAGGATGTGGCCCGTTCGGGAACTAGCAGCTAGGTACCCATGAGTTTGTTGAGGGGCTACTTTGAAAAATTGATGAAATAAATCTAAGGTCGGCGAAGCACCGACATCTTTACAACGACAGATAAAGCCCGCCATTGCCCGATAGGAGTTCGGCATGACTTGGGCAGGTACAATTTCATAAAAATTAAAAAATGAAATAAAAAAGGGGTGTAACGGAAATCTAAGCCCAGCCCTCACTGAATCGAAATGGACCACGGTCAACCCAGGGGCGTGACGTAGGGGATGAAGCCCAACTTGCAATCGAAAGTCCACAGGTTCTGGGATTAGGGCCGGGATTTCGGCCCTATTATTGGCGGTCAATTTCTGCCGTCTTGCCCTAATTAAACCTAGGTCGAGGGAATGACGGGGAACATCTTTTGGCCGTCCAACCGCCATTAAGTCCATTTCATCCTCGGATTTTGTGCCATCAGAGCTTTCACCAGAGGAAGATGAAGTGCTAGGAAGGTCCTCCGCCTCAGCCCTGGTATTTGTCGTCGTTTCAGTAGAACCACCGGCGAATGGGACTGTGATGACATCCACAATGGCAGTGTCACGGTCATCTCCATGGGAGGCCATCTCCGAATCAGGAGAATGCTGTTGAGAACTCATCTCGATCGAGCCAGAAATGAGGATAAGGAATAGATGGAGGAAAGGTACCTGAGCGACGAAAGCTGGGAGAAAATTCAGAGGAAGCAACGATGCGAGGGAGATTACAGAATCGAAACCCAGATTTGAAAGGTTAAGGGTTAATTTATAGCCTTGAAACCGCCGTATCAAGAACCAATCAGGGAGCAACACGTCACTAGGAGCTTTTAAGCTAAACGCGTGTCCAATGAAAAGACTAAACGACGGTTACCATGATGAATATGGGGAAATGAAACGGCAGCCGTCAAATCACAGCATGGGGAACTGATTACTTCGGTACCCCGATCGCCATTCGGCAAATTGCAACATTGGTATTCATACTTCCTAATGCACTCACTGTTGTTCGAGACATCGGAAGTGGGGGACTTGTGTTGGGATATTGACCTAGAGGCCCAATACCCGGATCAAGAAGGCCCAAGATACCCGGTCCAAGCAATGTGCCCATCACTCTATGATGAGTAGATCCAGTGAAGAATTCATGTCGAACGAGATTCGGCCCAAATAAAGGTTGGCCCAGTAAGAAGACATACCGAACGGAGTTCGGGCTATATATCATACTTGGGCCAATTTGACAGCGTCTTCAGCATAGTCCAACATCCCGTTCGAGCAACGGACAACCGGCAAGTGGCCAGGTGCAATTAATGCCAGATTATGACATCAGCAAGTGGAAACATGGGTGACCAAGTCGGTGGAGCAACAGCCAATCAGCACAAGGCAGCCCATGCTCTCCATTAGTATAAATAGAAGGTTTAAAATCATTGTAAGGGTTAGCATTTCAATACTCAGGCTCTAGAATAGCATCATTGCTCTTATTTCTTGTATTAAAGTATTGTTTCCGACCTACCGATCGGGAAATTCCTTGTAATCAGACTGGTTAGTTAATACAAGTGAGCTTTCGAGTATTAGTGAGTTCATATCTTATATTTTGTTTATACACTTTGATTCTGTGCCATTCCTGATATATCCAAAGTTCGTGTTGGGCTTTCGGATCTACGGGATTTACCCTCAACAATGGTTTTCCACTTTCTATTTTAGGTATGTAAATAAGAATAAAGTGACAAATTTACCATTACTTTTACTTTTTCCCCATTAAGGTTATTTTTACTTGAACTGTAATTCGTCCCAGACCAGACCATACCAGACCAAAACAGACCAAACTAGACTAGAGATAATAATAATCTGGTCTGGTTTGGTCTGGTCTATTTTAGTCTGGTCTGGTCTGTTCTGTTTTGGTCTGATCTGGTCTGGGACGAATTACAGTCCAAGTAAAAACAACCTTAGTTGGGAAAAAGTAAAAGTAATGGTAAATTTATCACTTTATTTTTATTTACATACCTAAAAGTTAGTGGGACATCCAAAAAAGGAAAGTTGACAAAGTTATAAGGTACGGAGGGAGTAGGAATTTATTGTGGAACAATTTTTATTTCTAAAAACAATATGTTTGAGTGAAGAAGTCGATGTTAGGCAACAAAAACTTAGGAATCCTTTTTGGTTTCAAACTCCTACCTTTCGTATATATCCAAACATTCTGTAATTCCCGCAGACCGCAGAGAAGCCCTATTATTTCCGCCGACCGCAGTTCCTTTTCTTGGCATCTTCTCTTCTAATATCCGCGACTCCTTCCGGTGAGTCGTCAATCTCATCTACGCTTTGAACTGTTTAAGTTTTCTGTAATTGTGTTTAGTGTTTAATGTTTTATACTCTCTTGGTATGTTTCGAATTTACTATGCGTCTGTGATACTATGTATGAATTATTGTCTTGATTTATTCAAGAGAACCGACATGGAGATGAGCGGAGAAAACAGGGAATAGATGAGTGGCTTCCATAATGTTAGTGACGAGAAAAGGAGCAAATAAGCCGCTCCTTATAAAAAATGTCAAATAAGCTCTTATATAGGAGGCACTGTCCGAACGTCGCCATTTTGGAGGTCCCCGATAAAAATTTTTGATACAATTTTTTGAGCATATTATTCATTAAGTCTAGTTTATTCATAACAAATTTCAGCTAAAACCTCAATCGGGAAGACATTCAAATGAATTCTTGAAGAGAATTGCGTAATTAAAAGCGCATTTATCTTCAAGAATTTATTTGAATGTCTTCCCAATTGAATTGTTCGTTGAAATTTTGCATGAGTAAACAAAATTTAATGAATAAAATTCTTAAAAAATTTCATCAAAAAATTCCATCGGTAATTGCCCCAAATGACGACGACCGGATAGAATCTCCTATATAAGGGCCTATTTGACTTGTTTTGGTTAGTACGTGGGCTTATATGCCCCTTTTCCCTATTAGTGACTTTGTGCCCATACATACGGAGCATTATATAAGTTTGTATTTTTATATTTATTATTATTTATAATTTTGTTTGGCACTAATATTAGAGAAATTTATGTTTTTATATACTTCATTCGTTTTTAAATAAGTGCAACATGTTGAATTTTACGGTATTCACATGCTTCACTTTGATTAATATTAATGTATTAATAATTTATTTTGATAAAAATATTGTAAAATTTGTCTCCATCTTAAATTTTCAAAATCTCACTCTTTAATTTTTTAAAAATTAGATAATTAAATATACTAGTGGTCAAAGTTGTGCGTTGACAAACGTGAAAAGTTAACCGTTACACTTATTTAAGAAAGAAGGTAGTATGAAATTATTTATTAAAAAATACCTTTTTTTTATATTTTTGTGTTTACCCATGTTTCGTGTCCTACTTTTTTTGAAAACGTCGTTTCTTGTGTTTCTGGTTTCCGTGCTACATAGCAATGCAATGAACCCTGGAGCTAAGCTGGTATTTGATCAGGTCCTGAACAACCGATTTATTGATTCGTTACCGATCTAGCCAGCTATTTCTGTTGCTTCAAACTAATCGAAACCTGTGCAAAACTGCTCACCATCTTCTCCTTTGACATGGAAAGAAGAGGTAACTAAGTAAATACGTTCGTTCATGTTTTTCGGTTCTACTTCCTCCGTCCCTTAAAATTTTGCCAACTTTTCTTTTTTGGATGTCCCACTAACTTTGTCACTTTCTTCTTTAAGTAAAGAGTTTGTGGTTCCGGTTAATTCTTTCTCCCCTGCACAAACCTCAAACACACAGATTTTACTTTAATAATTCTCGTGCCGTTCAAACTTGACAAAGTTTTAAGTGAAGGATGGAGTATGTGACATGCTTTAATTTTCTCAGGTCTGCTTTTCTTCATGTACACGCACACAAATTAGTTTCACACGCGACCTTTAGTGAAAGTAATCACACGCGACCCAATGTTTCTTCTATGCACGTCAAAGAGAACCAATTCATATGAATTAAGACCCAGTTTTTACTCCTGTTTATGAATTAAAGTGCTCCGGATATATGGTTTGAACACAAGATACTTTTATTAAGAAAAAATATATTCAATTGGTTTATTCTAAAACGAGTGCATTTAAAACGCTATAATTTTTATTATGTTCGATGTGAATGCCTCGAGTTGCCATAACCAAGTCTGTCACATATTGTAGTGGAGCTATTATGTGCGGGGGTGTAGCAGGGTATATTGTGGGAGGTAAAAGAGAATTTTAATATAAACTTCAATATATTAAACTTGATCACTTGTCACACATACAATGAAAGGGGTGGGGTATTTATAGGATAACCTGTTTACATTAAAAGATGTAACTTCTCGACCTTACATGTTCCTAGATAATAATTACTATAGAAGTTACAAAAACCTTTTCTTATCCCTCGATAAATAAATGAACCTAGAAATTCACAAGGAATACCAAGAGACTAATAATTAATAACTCCAAGTTTAATTTAATTTAATTTAATTAATATCCAACAAATGTCTCCCTTAAATTAAACTTGCTTCTCACTCCTAAACTTTTTGCGCCTTTTCTGAAGACTTCTGCACTTAGCGGTTTTGTCAAAATATCAGCTCTTTGATCTTCAATCTTGCAATACTCCACTTGAATTTCTCCTTCACTTACAAGCTCTCTCAAGAAATGATATTTGATGCGAATATGTTTTGTCCTTCCATAAAGAACTGGATCCTTTGTTACTGAAATTGTTGAACGATTGTCACAAAACAATGTAGTTGACTTTTTCTGCTTCTGCTTTAGACTTTTCAAAATTCTCCGCAACCAAACCAGTTGACATCTAGCATAAGATGCTGCGATGTACTCAGCTTCCGTAGTAGAAAGCGCTGCAATTATTGTTTCTTCGACCTCCAAGAGATCCCGTCAGTGCCAAGATGAAATACATATCCGGAAGTGCTATTTCTATCATCTAAACTTCCGTCTAGATCGCTATCAGTATAACCAACAAGATTGACTGGAACATTTGCTTCATAAAAAATTTCATGATCAATAGTTCCCTTAACATACCTCAAGATTCTCTTGGTCACCTCCCAATGATTTGAACAAGGGTTTTCCATAAATCTACTCACCAGGCTAACAATGTATATACAATGTCGGGCCTTGTGGTAGTAAGATACATCAAATCTCCAACCAAACTTCTGAACAAAGTAGGAGTAATGAGCTTGCCTTCGCCTTCCTTAGATAGCTTGAAGTCCGTGATGCATGAAGTAGAGATCGGATTAACATTCTCCCTCTTGAATTTCTTTAAAACATCTTTCGCATAACATTCTTGGGAACTGAATGTTCCCTTCTTACCTTGATGAACTTCGATGCCAAGGAAATAATGAAGCTCACCAAGATGTGTCATCTCAAATTCAGCCATCATCGAGTGCTTGAATTCTTTCATTATTTCCACTAAATTCTCAAGCTCACCAAGATGTGCCTTGAATTTTAGCCCGGTAAAATTCTCCACTTCTGCCTTGAAATCTTTGAACTTCTCAAAAGCTTGAGACTTTTCTTTTACACAATAAACCCAAACCTTCCGAGAGTAGTCATCAATAAAAGAGATAAAGTAACGATTACCTCCCAAAGACGGAATTGACATCAGGCCTCAAAGGTCCGAGTGAACTAGTTAGAGTGGTGTTTTTGCTCTCCATGGAGTATGTGAAGGAAAAGATTGTCTGTGTTGCTTTCCCAGCTGACAAGATTCACAAACATTATCAAGGCGGTCAATCTTTGGCAAACCTCTCACCATCATTTTCTTAGAAAGCATCTCCAAACATCCATAGTTTAGGTGGCCATATCTCTCATGCCACAACTTGGAAACTCCTATGTCACCACCAATAAAAAATGACATGTCTCTTTTTTTAAGGATGAGCGAGAAAAGATTATTTGAGGCAACTCCAATTCTAGCAACAACTTGATTTTTCCTTGACAGAAATATGTCATATCCCTTCCTCAAAAGATGACCAACACTAAGCAAGTTATTCTTTAAGCCAGGAGCAAAATATACTTCAGACATTCTTTCAATTCTTCCTTGTTTTGTCTTGAACTCCAACTCACCAACACCACAAAATTTGTATGACTTTCCATCTCCATCTTTAATTATTCTTCTTGAATACTTAATTGTGGAGAAATTCCTATTCATCTAGAATAGCTATTAATAACAAGACACGTTCATTAATAACCCTTAATATTAATTAATCATCAATATAGAACATGCGCCATATGTTGATCTTTGTAGTAGCATTCGGTCTTTTTAATAAAATAAATTAAGAGCGATAACTTGTAACCCGAGGTGAGTATTCTCGACTATCGCAACGAGAGTCTCAGGTCTAGTTATTCTGTCTGATTTATTCATTTTTCATCTGATGAAATCAATTAAGATTGATAACCTCAACACAATCGGTTTTTTGGTTTAATCAATATAATTATTCCCTCTTAGATTATTAACCATGAGACGCATGCATTAATAATTTAAGTTTACTACTTATGAAAGGATGAAGTGAATAACAAGCGTATTCATTGACTGATTCTTGTAATAATTAATGTCAAGATGTTAATTAATTGTCATCTTAGCAACACTCCCCAACATTAATATAGAGATAGAGTAAAGGAATAATTAATATTCAAGGGAAGAAGTAAAAAAAAGTCATAACTTACAAATCACAAGCTTCAATATAGAAAAACCAAGCTCAAAAGACTACCTAAATTACAAGAATACAGTGTATATGAAAGAGGGGATTGATTGGTATCTAAAATGGGAAGGAAATGAGTGTTTTTATTGGAGAAATGAGGTGGTTGGGTCTGATACCCGACCGGGTATGGCAATATACCTGATCGGGTATAAGATAAAATCTGATTTTCCCACGTTCTCTTGCTTTATTTGATCTCGTATGATCTCCGGGTCAAATCACAATGGCGGGCACTTTATCGTGGTGTGCGTCAAAATAAATTCAATACTAGGACTAATACACAGTATATTGAAGTAGAGTTCGTATCCACAGAGAAAAGAATACTTTTCTTTTTATGAACTAGTAAATAAAAGGAGGGTTTTGGGATTGAGTGATTCAATACAAAGATGAACGACTTAATGGTTTTAATTAAGGAGATAAAAGACTGGGTTTCGCTACCTTCCACTTGTTGATATGTTTGTTGATCCCGGTTATATCTATAACTTATCCCCTCTCGAATACTCAATCAAGGAGTATCTCCAATTCATCGAGGGTAGTTATAACCACGACTGTGCATTAATAACCCTTACTATTAGCCAAATATAGAACACCGCCATATACCGACTTGATAGTAGCATTTATTCTCTTAACTCCTTGATGAAATCAATTGAGATTGATAACCTCAACACAATGGTTTCGATTTAACAAACACAATTAATCCCTCTTAAGATTATTAACCACGACCGTGCATTAATAACCCGAAGTTACTTGTGAAACCATCAATGATTAACCATCGGTTCATTGATCATTTCTAGTAGTAATTAATGTCAAGATGTTAACTAATTGTCATCCTAGCAACACTTCCCAACATTAATATAGATATAGAATAATGAAAGAATTAATATTTTAAGAGAAGAAGTAAGAAAATAACTCACAACTTTAACATTCAACAAACTTCAAGAACAAACCCAAGAAATGAAAGTATAGCTCCTCATTTGAAGACTAAACATGCTAGAAAAATATAAAGAAATGCTATTTTAAACTGAGCTTAAGAGTATATGTGAATTGGTGATCAAATGGGAAGGAAACGGGGTGCATTTATAGGTGTTTGGAGGTGGTTTGGTCATTTACCCGACCGGGTTTTTCAGAAACCCTATCGGGTTTCATGAGTAATTGCTCAGAATCTTCATTAATCACATCTACCCGATCAGGTTTTTTATTTACCCGATCGGGTAAAAGACAAATCTTTGCCAAATATTTGCCTTGCACGTTTAATTGCCTCCAAATCACAAACAGACAGGAAAAATAAAGCTAGTTAAAATTATACACATAAACGAACATAATCATTCTATACTATCACATACCCGATCAGGTATTGCAAGAACCAACAATCTCGGTTAACCTTCACGAGCAAGCAGCAAATTGCACCTCAATTTTCTGTTCCTGTGTTCCATGGCATTCAATTTAATTTCTGCATACACACTCGATCAAATCAAACATGGATATAAATTTGCAGAGTTTTCAGAAATTCTATGGACTTGTTTGCTCCTTCTGGCATCGGTGGTGGAGACTATTACGGTGATGGCGATTTTCGGGTGGAATTTGGAGGTGCTATTTTTCTTTGTAGGGGGTGTTGGAGTGTTCAAGTGTGGGATGATAGTTATGGATTTGTATGACAGGCCGGACCAAGAATACAAGTGGGCAGGGAGGGGAAGAAAATGCGCAGAGCAGATTTTCTCCGAGGCTTTGCCCATTGCACTACGCTGCATTTTGCCGCATAACATCAGATACGGTGTGATATTGGCGTGCTGGAGTCTGTACTACTACGGATGGCGTCGCGTATACCTGCGGCATTATGACATGGGAGCTTGGGAAGTGTTCGTGTCCGTACCAATGCAACTTTATATATATTCCTGTTTGTCACTTGATGATGCTGGTAATCATCGTGATAACGTGTTGTCTATCATGGCGGGACTACTCGGCTTATGTCTTCCCTGCTTGAGATACTACTCCTATGCTGCCCCTGAACTGCCCTCTCTTTCCAAAGAGTTGCTAGTTTGATTCTTTGATATGATGTGCACAAGTAGGTAGATGATTAGTTTTATTTGTCCAATTTATGTGCTTGTATAATAAAGAACAAGAAGACTAGCTGCTTTGTAGTATTAATAACAAATATTTTAAATATTTCTTTCATTTTTATCCATCATATTGGTTGATTTTGCCGACTGATGAAAAAAATGTGTACACAAATTATACATTGTCTGTGTACACAAACATTTTGACATAAAATCATGTCTTTTTCACTTTGTACACTTTGTGTACTAATTGTGTACATCAAGTATTTTTCATATTTTTCTTGTGACATGATATAATTTTTAGGGATGAAGAGGGCATCTAGAACACGAATTAAGAGTTAGGGCATTTGAGTTATCCCAGGTGTCCTATTTGCTTCTTTGGCTCTCCTCTTCAAGTCTTTCTAATGTTTCCGTCCAAATTATGAGTAATATTGTTCAGTAGGTATTAGTATACAAAAATATACTCCTCTGGCCTAATTTGATTTGCAAAATTTCTTATTTTCGTTGTCCCAAAATGTTTTTTCACTTTCTATTTTAGGTATGTAAATAAGAATAAAGTGACAAATTTATCCTTACTTTCACTTTTTCCTCATTAACTCAAAGGCATTTACTTTTAGAAAGATGGGTAAAAATGTAAAAAGCAAGCATCATTTATTGTCATTTTTTAATCCTTGTGCCGGTCAAAGTTTGCAATTCAATTCGGGACGGAGAGAGTAATAACTAATCTTACTATCCAAGATCAAGAAAAGTCAAAATTGCCAAGATTTGGGAGGAGGGAACACCAACCAAAGCTTAACATCATTGATTGAAATAATCAAATACAAGTGTGACTAAAAATATTTTTACTTGGACTTTAATTTTCTAGTCTTGTTTGATCTGGTCTGGTAATGTCTCGTCTCTGTATCGTTTATAACTATCCAAGTTTGATCCGATATGGTCTAGTAGTAAAAACATCATAATTGAAAAAGTAACATACTTCCTTAATTATTCTTTTATTTGCAACAGTCCACACTCCACATACTTTACACATTTGACCATCAATATTCAATACTCCGTATATCTTATTCTCTACTAGTAAAAAATTAAAAATCATATTTTGAAAATTTGTAATCAGATGAATTGAACAATATTTAAAAAATATTAATTATCATAAATTATTATATAAAATGTAATCAAAGTAAAATAGATGAATAGTGTAAAACTCAAAATGTTACAATTTAAAAAATGGAGGATAATATTCCATAAAAGAGTCGATCAAGTAGCATATCATATTCTTCTAGAATTAGAGGAGGAGAGGTTATGTGCGGTAATCGTAAATAGAAAGACTGCCCCAAAAGCCAAAAGACATAGCAGAGAGCAACAGACGATTATTGTTGCTCATCTTCTTATTCATCATTCCCGGAAAACAATACATAAAACCTACATTGGTACTGTCACAAACACTTCCCAAGCATCCAAGTCATAACAACATGATATAAGGTGATAGTACTTATATTTTACACACTTTTTAGGCTTAGTTTGTTGATAATTTTAGTTATTAAAGTTCTACTTTTGTATATATTTTTATTATTTATCGTTAGTTTGTACTTGTGCAGTCCTACACGGGTATTTTGTATTTTCAGGTACTTTTGATGCTATTTGGATATATTAGAGTGTGAACAAAAGAAGAAAATAAAAGTTCAATTTGGAGGTCAATAAAAGTGGAATTTCTTTCAAAACAAATAACGAGTAAATTGAAGAAAAGAAGCAAAATTTAAAATGGTGGAGCTGGGATTCAATCCACGAACAAAGGGTAAGTGGTAGAATAATGCCTATTACAACCAGTGTGCTAAGTGGTCAATGTTGTACATAATCAGCTGACAATTGTTATATTCCTTCTGAACGCAGCAAAGAAAAGAACAAAATGTTGAAGCCGAGAATCGATGCCGTGATCTCTGAGATTTCCCCTGAAACGCTTGTCCGTTGAACTACCTGCCACTGTTGAAACTTTATTGCGCTTTGTTGTACATAAACTATATGCTCCGTAAATTCCAGCAATTAATCATTAATCATCTTATCTTTATATTGCCTTAATCCATCTCCTTCCACACATAAGCTCGGATCAACCTCTCTCTAAAGATCCCAGAAACATTTCCTCCTCCTCTCTTCATTTCTCAACCCCAAATCATCAACCCATCTTCAACCATAACTAATCACTTTCTCATCCAAGATTAAGTCAAGATTAGCATCAAAGCTCCAAGGATTGTCATCTATCACAAGTTTGATCTTCCTTATCTCATTAAATCTTGTACTTTAATCATGGATTCATCTATTTCTATGCTTCCCAACATGTATAGCTAAATAAATTTGGGGCTAGAAATTGGTTAATTAATTGTTCTTATCATGTTTTAATTTGTATTGATTTTAATTGTTAAGTTTGTTCTATTTAGATTGGTGTGTCCAGAAAATTAATTATGTTGTGTTTGTGATATATATTATGAGTACTTAATCATAAACATATTGTTTGTTAAATACACAAATGAACACTTTCTGAACACACCGTTAAACTTCTTTTACCTTGTCCCGGATTGAAGTTTTACGGGAGAATTTAATTATTTAATTATATTATTTACACCACGGGGTTGGGTAAATAATATAGTTAATAATTAAGGTTGTCGTTGCACTTAAACAACTAGTCTCGTTTTGACCATCATTGGGAAATATTGACTAGTTACTTATTTTAGGTGACTTGTGTTGGGTCCTAAAATATTTATCTACAACTTCTCACAATCTATCTAAGAATAAAATTAGCAATTATGTCTTACAAATGAACATTGAACAATTAGTTGCCAATTTCTACCCCTACTTGCTATTGGTTGAACTTTGTGTTGATAAAAATCTCTTCTCTCAATCACTTTTATTTAATTACTTTTTCAAGCAAACAAAAATCAAAAGAAACGCATTCCCAACTTTAATCCTTAGTTTGTGCTTAATTATTTTATTTCCCGCTTCTCTGTGGTTCGACATCCTACTTCTCTGTGGTTCGACACCCTACATGGCGCCGTTGCCGGGGAAGCGGTTTTGAAAAAAAAATGAGAGCATAAACTTTCGATTTTAGTTATTGTAAATTGTGTGTATATTATTTTGTTGTTATCTTGTTTACCTTTGCAGGTTTAAAAAAAGTGATTAATTAAAGTTCAAAAAAAAAATAAAATAAAAAATAAAAAAAAAACAAAAAAATGAAAAAAGAAATGGACTGTGATTAATCATCTTACCTGAGCATTGGAGTTGGACTTGTTGACTGAACATATCTGGAAATTCAGACCATTGAACATATTGTTACATTTTAATTCAAAGGATTATCCGCCTATATGGCTGGACCGCTTACTTGTACATTTTAATTAAAAGGATACTCCGCCTATATGGTCGGACCGCTTATTTTTCTTTTTATGGTGGTTCAAACCCCAACTTTTTAATTTATGCACTTTAATTATCGCAATTTAATTTGTGCACTTATATTATCGCAATTTAATTTCCGCACTTTAATTTCAGCATTTTTTTAAATTTTGCATCCCCAATCTTGTCGGCCGTGTCCACTTGTTGGTGGAGTGCACTTTTTATTTTTATTTTTTTCTTAATAATCCCCAGACTGTCGGCATAGCTGCATCTTGGTGGAGACTGTATTTATTACTGTAGCTATTTTTTTTCTTCCCTCAAATCACCATATTTGTCGGCCCAGTCGCATCCTAGTGAATTACTGTATATATTCATATTGCTTTAAGGGCTCACTAGTCTTATTCGTTTTATACCAATTGAATAGAAAAAAATAAAAAAAATGTCAAACGATATTGTTGTTAATGAGCAGGTACCCGATCAACAAATTGTGGATCAGGTTACGAGGACCAGGAAACCGCTGTATGATTATGTTACGCCTCCTGTGGATGAGCATGACAGTGTTATTCCACCAGAGGTTAACATGAATCATTTTGAAATCAAGTATGCTATCATTCATATGGTTTCAAATACTCAATTTGGCGGAGCGCCAACGGAGGATCCAAATAATCACATCACAAAATTCCTTCGAGCATGCAACACCTTCAAAATCAATGGTGTGCCAACTGATGCTGTCAGACTACGCCTGTTCCCATTCTCTCTACGGGATCGAGCTCAGAGTTGGTTTGACTCTTTTCCGGATAATCACTTCTCCACTTGGGATCAACTTCATGGTGAATTTCTCAAAAGATTTTTCCCGCCATCTAAAACGGCGAAAATCCGAAGAATGATTCAAAATTTCAAGCAAAATCCCAATGAGCCCCTCTACGAGGCTTGGGAAAGATTCAAAGATCTTCAGCGACAGTGTCCACATCATAACATCCAAAACTGGCACTTGATGACGACTTTCTATGAAGGCCTACATGAAAATTCTCGGATACTCGTGGACGCGTCAGCAAATGGATCATTCATATGCCTGGAACTTGAAGAGACAGAAGAATTGATGGAGCGTATTTCATCAAGTGGATCAACATGGTATTCTGAGCGATCATCTACTCCACCAAAAATCGGAGACATGTATGAAGTTGATCAAATGTCAGCCATAACCACAAAGGTCGATAGCATGATGAATCTTATCCAAAAGATGGCACAAGTCTCTCTTGTGCAAAACTCTACATCAACTCCAGCTCCCATTCCCGTTCTTATGTGTGAATCTTGCGGTGGACAACACAATCAGTCTACTTGTCCATGGAAAGCAATGGAACAAGTTGACTATGTCAACTACAACAGGCAGCTCCAACAAAATCAATTTGGTAATTTCAATCCTCAAGGAAGAAACCATCCCGGTTTTTCCTGGAGCAATCAAAATGGAGCTGCTAATCCACAACCATCTTACCGGAGTGCACCACCCGGTTTCCAAAACTAACAACAGCAATTCAGAGGTGGCCAAGGTATTGTGAACCAGCAACACTATAAACCCACTCAAAATCTTCCATACCCTTCAAATCAACAACAAAAACCACTTCTCCCCACTCCTGAAACAACCCAAACTCCTGTCCTAGAAAACATTGTTGACCAACTTCTCATATGTAGGAAATATGAAGAAAGAAAGAGGCAGTTCGGTAAGGAAATATATTCCACCAGTTCCTTATCCGAACAGATTGAAGAAAGCTAATATGTAGGAGCGGAG